AAATGCATTTCTGCATTTATTGATTTTTTTTTTTTTTACTTGAAAATGAGAGCAAGAAAATGAAAGGAATAATTCACCCCAAAATTTGCTGAAATATACTCACCTTCAGAGCATCCAAGTTGTAGATGAGTTTGTTTCTTCATCAGATTTGGAGAAATGTAGCATTGCATCACTTGTTCACTGCAAGTGAATGGGTGCCGTCAGAATGAGAGTCTGATAAAAACATCACAATAATCCACAAGTAATCCACAGCACTCCAGTCCATCAATTAACATCTGGAGAAGACAAAAGCTGAAACAAATTCAGCATTAAGACGTTTTTAACTAAAATATGAGTCCATAATCCATAATAACGCTTCCTCCAGTGAAAAAGTGGTCTGGTCTGAATCAGGAGAGAAATCTGCACAGATCAAGCAGCGTTTAAACAGCTCTAAACACATATGTGGCTGGATTTTGATGTGAGAGACAACAGCCAACAGCAGATGCACCTTTTTCGTTATTATTATGGATTATAGACTCGTATTTTAGTTAAAAACGTCTTAATGATGGATTTGTTTCAGCTTTTGTCTTCTCCAGATGTTAACTGATGGACTGGAGTGCTGTGGATTACTTGTGGATTATTGTGATGTTTTTATCAGCTGTTTGGACTCTCATTCTGACGGCACCCATTCACTGCCAGTGAACAAGTGATGCAATGCTACATTTCTCCAAATCTGATGAAGAAACAAACTCATCTACATCTTGGATGCTCTGAGGGTGAGGAAATGTTCAGCAAATGCTCATTTTTGGGTGAACTATTCCTGTAAATCAACACACAAAGTCATTCAACATTGTGTTTAGAAACATATATTAGTTAAGCGAATGCCAGAAAACTTTATCTTTAAAAAAACGCTAAATTTAATGACTGTAACTGTATCTGTCTGATCTAAACCGCACAACAGCTGCTCTGAAATCACTGGAAGCCTCCTCTGGGAAAACTGGAAGCTTTCTGGATCCATTCGCCACCCGAATGTCAGCGGCCGTGGTGTAAAAATAGGCTGGTGCATTAAAACAGGTCAGCAGGTAAAGGAAAGAATGAAGCTTGTTTTTCCAGAAGGGCTTTTCTGCTGAAGGAGGCTGAACGTTCACTTTTACATCGGGTAAAACGAACAACTGGGATGCAGAATGCATGAATATAAGACAACAAAACACTAAAATGTGAATTTACCAAAACTTATCCACATATTAGATCACACTTGACATTCCAGGGTTCATGACATAACATAAGAAATCAAGAATACTACCGAGCAAAAATTCTACAAATCACAGCAAATAAATATTGCAATAAACATTAATTAAACAAAACCTGTTTGTACTTAACTAATAATTCAACTGTGTGTATATAAATAATATTTTATTATAAATTAAAATAAAAAATCTAATATATTTATATATAACTTCTTTAATGTATTTCTTAGCTAAATTATTTACATTATAATTTATATTTTGCATTATTTTTATATATAAAATTAATATTTATTTAATATGATGCAACACATCCTGTTGTTCATTGTAAATTAATCAGACTCATATTTTAATGACTCAACACATTATTTTATTGTAAAAGTACATGCATTGCCTTTTGCAACACATCCTGTTGTTCATTGTAAATTAATCAGACTCATATTTTAATGACTCAACATATTATTTTATTGTAAAAGTACATGCATTGCCTTAATGAATATCATAAATAATAACTATTTACTTCCAAAACCCATACAGTATTTTACAGTAAACGTTTTTTTTTTTTTTACTGTATATGGTCAGGTGATTTAACAGGAATTTACTTTTACATTTTTTTTTTTTTTACAGTGAATATGACACCAAGGCAACATTACAGTATCTACAGTAGCTTGTTAACAGACTAGTGCAATAAATGAAAATTAAAAACCTAAATATTAATTACAAACATAAAAGTACATGAATGGCTAATTAATTTCCTGCTAGTACTGGAAATATTGTAAGTAAAAAAAAAAAGTTTTTAAATTAATATTTTATAGAAATGTTATATTTTTAAAAGTAAACAATTATATATATATTTTTTTTTTATTTATTTTTTTTTAAACCAGTAACATGTACACTGTGATGTCGTGTTAACTATTTAAAAATTAAATAGGCCAAAATAAACAAGACCAAAAAAATGACTTGTTTATTCTCCAGCACCGGTCCGGTCCGGTCGGGCCCGTTATCACTCACCGTCCCGGATGTCATTCCCGCGGCTGCAGTTACTGCAGATGTGCTTGATATGACCGGAGATCACAAACGGCGTGTTGTTGTTACCGGAGGCGGTGGGCTGCCGCAGTCTGACCAGGTTAAAGGCTCTCCGTTTGCGCGGTTTCTCTGCGGACGATGACGATGATAACGATGAAGAAGATGACGCGTCCTCCCGTAACCGGGATGTGATCCAGGTCCCGTGCGCTCCCGTGAATGCGGGACCCGCCATGGGCTCAGCGGGCCCAGCGACACACACACACACACCCTGACGTGATCCACTTCGGTGTTTTCTTTAATATACCGCGTCTTTAAACCAACCGTTACCGGTCATTCTTGCGCATATTTGAGTGACTGGCGCAGATTTGTTTATCATAAGCGGACAGATGCGCCTCTCGGTAGCATCTCTACAAATTCATCAACGTGACGCAATGCCGTGAAGTCCACGTAAAAATACGCGGACCGGAATCGACCGTTAACGGGAGCAAATTTGTCGATCCTACTACAGCGAGAGCTTGTCTTATGAATATTAACGACCGAACGTGACGTTCGTCCCGCAGGCCTATCCGATTGGAAGCTGTTGTTAATCCTGAAGGCTTGGCTCATGAATATTAATGACGCAGCTTGACCCGGCCCACTTCATTGGAAGGATACGCTCATAAATATTAATGCAGCAATGTGACGTTCGGCCAGTAGGCATTTAAACAGCCGTTAACGTATATGGCGCTATTTTATTGTATATTTTTATTATTGCTTTTAAACAATTTTAAATTAAATTTTATCTTTTTTTATTACAGTTTGTTGGTTACCAAGCTGCGTGAGCGCCAAGCCTTCGCCATAGTATTATTTTCGCTGGCCACACAGTCCAGATCGGTCCAGATCCACACCGGATCTACCGAGAAACCCCGCCTACGTCACCGTGTTTCGAACGGTGTCGCACCGCTAGAGGCTGCGGTCACTGAAACCCGTAGGCTACTAAAATAAAAAATAATAACGGTAACCATTTTCCCAAAGACTGTATGTGTGCAAACCTATTGGGAAATGCTGCTTTAATATCTACAGGGCATAGAAAATTATGTAATTTAAAATCTACATGATATTATATATATTATAACATCTTTTTTAAATATATTTCCGAATATACAAAACATTTTCTGTATATTTTTATATATATTTTAAAAAGTAAAATATTTTTTAAATGCATTAAAATGTGTATTATTCACACGTGTCACATTTGAAGAAAAACTATATTTGTTGTTTATATGTGTGAAACAACACATTTGGATAAAAATCTTACTTTACAATGATCTAAAAAATGACAATACATAAGAGGCCTATGTAAAAAATGAAATGTTATTAAATCAAAATCTAGTTTTCTTGCCCCCAAATTGATTTTGAAATAGATTTTGGTTTATGAAAGTTTAATCTAAATATATTTCCGATTTCAAACATTTATTTCATTCAGCTTCACTGTTTACAACATATATTTAGCATTTATTTAAAATATATTTTGGCCAGAATATATATTTTTGCCATATGGGAATACTATGGTACTTGATTAATCCTAATAAAATAAGCAGAATGCCTTAAAAACTGCTATTAAAGAGAAATATTGCTGGTTAAGTGCACAGCATCACAATCAGTGCTGAGGTTCGATCACTTCTGTTTTAAGATCTTGTGATTGTGCGGTTGCTTCACTAAACTGGCCCCAGAACAGCCTGAGGAACATGTGCAGATGAAATATTATCCAGGATAAGCCAAACCATGACTCACATGCTGGAATGAATATTCTTTCTCATGCTTTCAATCCTAAAATCTCCAGCAGATGGCAATCTCTGGCGCTAATTCTGTTTATGAGAAAATTAACCCCCATGTGACTAATTGTGGCATGTGTGACTTTAATCATGTGTTTGTGTGTTTGCATGTGTGCCTTTCTCTTGCATCTGTTTTCATTGTGTGCACAAAGTAAAGCGTGAGTGAGTGTGTGTGTGTGTGTGTACGTGTGTGTGTGTGTGTGTGTGTGTGAGAGAGTGAGAGTGTGTGTGTACCTGGTATTTATCACGTTATGGGGACCAAATGTCCCCACAAGGATAGTAATTATTAAGACATTTTTGAGGTCCCCATGAGGAAACAAGCTTATAAATCATACAGAATGAGTTTTTTTGAGAAAGTAAAAATGCACAAAGTTTCCTGTAAGGGGTAGGTTTAGGGGTAAAAAGAAGAGGGGATGCCACACAGTGGTAAACATGGCCTTGTCCCAACTTTTTTGAGATGTGTTGATGCCATGAAATTTAAAATCAACTTATTTTTCCCTTAAAATGATACATTTTCTCAGTTTAAACATTTGATATGTCATCTATGTTGTATTCTGAATAAAATATTGAAATTTGAAACTTCCACATCATTGCATTCTGTTTTTATTCACAATTTGTACAGTGTCCCAACTTTTTTGGAATCGGGTTTGTATATTTCGTTAGAGAATCACTAATAAGTATTAAAAAAAAATGCTAAATATCTGGACACATCTGGTGGGAATATGCAAAAAAATAATAATATATTACCTTTTTTGTGTTAAAATGTGACCTGGATACATATTGAATACATTTACCCAATTACCTAATATTTGTTTCTGGGGAAACTTCAATTAAGCTTCATTTACCAAATGACTGCAAATGCAGACTAATTTCAGTAAATGACTAAAGCACAAAGCGAATGATGGTCATGATGATCTGAACAGCCGTGCAGCAGAACCAGTGTTTTGTAACTCATCCTTCTGCTACAGAAGTCAGCTTGACGCATAGACAAACAGTTTAATCCATGATGTTATGCAACTGTATCCCTGTAACACACACACACACACACACACACACATACAGCAGTAATACATCAGACATACTAACACATGGTTCAGTGATTGGCTCATTCTGAGCAGATACACACACAGATGTAGGGACAAGGCTGCAGGCGATGTGTGTGTGTGTGTGTGAGTATCAGATGAGTGTGAGTGAGTGTGTGTGTGTGTGTGTGTGTGTGTGTGTGTGTGTGAGAGTATCAGATGAGTGTGTGTTGTGTCTGGACTCTCACAGCATATTGATCCATCAGCTCATGCAACCACAAGAACATCACAGCAAAATATACTGTACTAACACTTCAGCAGGGTTGTTATTTTAACTGAAACTAAAAACATTTTTTAATTGAAAAAAAGCTGAAATAAATTAAAATATTAGATGAAAAACTTCAACTTAAGAAACTAAAATTACTAAAACTAAAGCTGACATAAAATAATAAAGCTAAATAGAATAGATTTTTATATTTTCAGTTTAATTTAAATGTAAGTTTGATTAATTTTGTTGTGCTTTTACAAAAATGTATTACTATTTAGCTTTAATTTATTTTTATTTTATTTTAAGTTTCTTCATTTAAGTTTTTCATGTAATATTTTATTTTATTTTAACTTTATTTCAATTAACAATAATAATTTTTAATAGTTTTAGTTGAACAATAACAACACTGGTCAACAAATCATAAAAATATAACAAAAAATAAATAAATAAAAATAAAATGACAAGCACACAACAAAATTACTTAAACCCAAAATAAAATAAAAAAATAAAATTGAAACTAAAGTTAAATTGCAAATGTTATAATGAACTGAAAATATACAAATAAAAGCTAATTAAAAATAAATACTATAATAGTATAGGAAATAATACTTTACTAAAGAACATTGAGTGACTGGACATGACCGTGATTTATTGACCAGTGCTGCTGTTATTAACTAAAACTATTAAAAATTGTTTTCATTCAATTGAAATAAATCTGTAAAATAATATAATAATCGATGAAAAACTTAAATTTAAAAAACTAAAATAAAAATTTGAAATGTTGCCTCAGCAACATAAAATAAGTAGAAATTGAAATGCTAAAATTACTAAAACTAAAACTGAAATAAAAATGAATTAAAGCTAAATAGAAATATACATTAAAAAGGGACAGAACAAAAGTATTTAAACTTAAATTTAAATTAAACTGAAAACAAATATATAACAGCTAATTCAAAATATTAATAAATACTATAATAATATAGAAATAATACTTCACTGGATATGATCATGAGCGACTTAACATGAGATTTTCAAACATAAAGTTTGTAAAATTTAAAAATAAATAGTGGTCGACCGATATATCGGCCGATATTTGGCATTTTTCAAATATCGGCATCGGCCGATAAGTTTTTCTGCTTGGCCGATGTGTTCGAGAAAGTTATAATACTTTCTCGTTTGCCGTCAGCATTAAGCAAATACGCAATTATATAATTTAAACAAATCTTTGAATGACCTTGCAAACTTAAGTCGAACTTAAAACCTTGCAAACTTAAGTCGAATCCAGCTGTGAGATCTTGTGAAGTGTGCATTGTGCAAGTGCGCGCGTTCTCTGTGTGACCTTCAGTCCGTGTGAATTATTATCGGCTTTATATCGGCTATCGGCCACCCTGCTTTCCAAGATATCGGCATCGGCTGTCAAAAAAACAATATCGGTCGACCACTAAAAATAAACATCACATCCACAACTCAGATGATCTATCAAATAAAGTGTGAATGCAATGGTTTGAAATGTAATTGAAGGTCTGAACGTTTGAGGAGCATCAGCACTGATCTGCCCTAAAAGTTGCAACACATTCTCACCCCCAACTCTTTTTGACACCCAGGGTCCTCCACTGCTTCAAATAAGAAACCTTTGGCGTCAATATGCAGACTCGAAAGGCATTGGGAATTTTATCATCGTGATTAAATTATATATTGGGTAATAATTTTGCCATTATTGCTTGTATGTTAGGGTGTGATTTTTCAATGTAAACAGTCACAATTTTATTTACATTACACTATTTACACATTTATGAGCACATAACCCTACCCCTAAACCTAAGCATTTGTTGATATAAAACACAGGATATAGCAGGCAGATACATCTAGTCACAGTTTATTCAAAAAGTATTAATATTCCAAGTCTTCCGAGGCAAAACGATCACCGTCTCCATCCGCCGTGACTGTACTTTTATTTGCCTGCACGTGTTTTATATTGTTCAGAAGTGTGTAGGTTTAGGATAGGGGTGGGGTTAGGTGCTCCAAAATATCTATGAAAGAATACATTTACATAAAATGATTTCTATTTTGACAAATGCATGCAAACCATTAAATGCATCTTGATCGATGCATAAGGCAAACGACTGAAAGCCATGGAGGACCCCAAGCGCCAAAATGTGGGGGTCCTGACCAAGCGTCAATAGGTGACGAGTTGGGAGTAAGAACGTGTTGGAAAACACTAATGAGATGAAACAGAAACAACACACACACTTTACACTTGCAGCGCTGGCAAGATTCATTGTGAGGGAAAACCAGCTGCTCCACTATAATGTCATCACACTCACACTGGAGTAATCAGTGATGTCACAATAACACGCTAGAAAAACATGCACTTACTAAA